TAGTGATCTGATCTCGAGGGAAGACATGTGCGTCTTAGCGTCCCGCCATTGAAAAAAGATATCGAAGCCTCGTTGTGAATATGCATATGAGATTGAATTAATTAGGAAACCGCGCCTCCTATCGGCGTGTACCTTGTTTGACGAGAATGGGCCTGATTAGTGGTCAACACGGCTTACCCGAGTTTAAATCCCATTAAATTTGGCGGGAATAATGAAATCTTTTAAAAAATATTTACCTTTGTTATGATAACCCGATCTGTATAGGATGTAAAATAGAGGATCTAAAAAAAGGGGGGGGGATCGGACGGAAAAATTACCTTGGGGCTCCATTCTCTCATCCTAGAGAACACGGGCCCCCCGTAAATTGGTAATTAAGAAAAGTCATGTACGTCTTGGTACATGAAGAAAGCGACTGACATATCCATGAGACGTTTTGACAGATTTTTTTTTTTGGGGGGGGGAGGGGGGTATATTTTTTTCACTGATTATGTACTCACCCCCGTCCCACACCCTCGTTTTGAAAAAAAATTCTTTAGTCCGCCCATGCAATCAAATGGAAGATGTGACGGTATAGAAATTGTATCCTGTTGTGGTATGCAACGTATGTTCCAGGCCCGTAGAACGCGGGGGGGGGGGGGGGGGGGGGGCTCCCCCACTTTTTTTCTGAGTGTAGCATTTTGCTATAGTAAATTTATCTTTTATAGATGCTGTTTGCGCCCCCCCCCCCCCCTGCCCCACTTTTTGTAGTTGTAAGTTCTAGTACGGGCAAATTCCAGGATGTGGATAGTTTGGACAGCAAATTAGGATTTTTTTTTTTTGCTTGTCAGATTTTTCTGGGAAGTCCCCCCCCCCCCTTTGAAATCGTTGCTACGAGCCTATCTTCCTACCCTTTCTGCTCACATGATTAATTGTCCATCACATATGTTGAAGCCGGCTGCCAAATTATACATGTAGGCCTACATATTGTCGCCGGGAACAATATGTGTGCTACGCCAAATTAACAAATTGAGTTCTTTTGCCGATTATAAATTAGGTTTATTATACTACTGGAAATTAAACAGGTCCGTAAGAAGCAATTTCAGGGGGGGGGGGTGTCACGAGAAATTTTTAACCGACAAAAAATTAAAAAAAAAAAAAAAAGAAGAAAGAAAATAGATCATCAGAGTTTGCGCACAACCGTATATAATTGTACAGTGCCAAAATCATTAAGGAGGTTGGATCCTGTTATCAAAAGTAATGAGAATTTTTTTTATCAAGTATATTTTTAGAATGTACACACATAGCTCAATCAAAAATCAACACAAAAAATGGGGGTTACTGCGCTTCTTTTGGCGCTACGGAGTATTAAATATGACCTTTTTGCACTGTAATTAGGTCTAACACATAAATCAATTTTTATAAGTTTTTCCGCTAATATTTTTTATTCAAATAAATTATGGGAACACACACAGTCTCATTTCATCTTGAAAAGACACATTAAAATTTGTGATATCAAAAAAGCTTCAAATTACTTGGCATGGTCAATTATTTGACCCATCTGCACTCAAAAAGTGTCATTTTTTTTAACAAGCAATAAAATCATTTGAAAGTAATGACATTTTACTAAATTTAAGCAGAATGGTTAAAATTATCTTATATATTCAGAAAAGAAAATTGAATTAAATGTGGGCGTCTGTAATGTTAATTTTTAGATATTACTAAAAAAGTGTTAATTTTAAGCTTAAATTAGGTTACTTTTTTCTGGACTTTCACAGTATATTTGCTATATTTGTCAAATTTGATGATAGAAATCATGATGGTTAATTTAATAAATAATTTAAGAATCCAAACTTAACAATACTGCGAATACTTTGAAAGAGAAAAATTGACCATTTTCTTCTAAAAACCTTCCGCCACAAAATGTAGTTCCTCACTTAATGCTTTTGGTATGGAATTTAGTCATGGGGTTTTATCTGAATATAGTTTAATTTGCATCGTAGAATCCAAGTTTATCGTAAGAAAAAAAAATATGCAGAATTTTTTTAAATTGGGGTCAAGACAAAAATCTACTCAAAAGCTCAGGAACGAACCTCTTTAAGAGGACAAAACGGTAGATAAGCTTTTTTTTCACAATAACCTTAGTTACAGCATGTATTGACTTGACTTTGCAAATGACCATTTTCAATTTTTTAAAAGTCAAGACATTTAGATACTTAAAAACTATATATTGTTCTATATATTTTTTTCTCTAGAGTTGGAATTATTTTAAGACCATAAACTTTATTGACCGTAAACTATACTTTACAAATGTCTGATAAATGTAGCACTGCAACTAAATTCATCATGAAATTCAAATTTTCAAACTATGATTAGCAACTTTAAACTATAAAGTTAACGAATATAAATTATAGTTTACAAATGAGAGTTTATATTATTATTAACAAGAATTATCATTCATGCTATAAGGTTGAAATTGCATATGCACAGAAAATACAGGTCGAGGTCGAATTTGGTCATGGTCTGATGATTTTTGGTAGAGTTATCCCTCTTGAACTAAGAAAAATATAAGAAATTTTCAGTTTCCGCTCTCTAACTTTTGTAGGAATGTATGTATAAGGTTGAAATTGCATATGCAAGTATTTTACCAGATAATACGGGTCAAGTATGAATTTGGTCATGGTCCAATGATTTTTGACAGAGTTATCTCTCTTGAACTTGGAAAAAAATAAGAAAAATTCAGTTTCCGCACACTCTCTAACTTTTGTAGGGATGCACATGTATGTATAAGGTTGAAATTGCATGTGCAGGTATTTTACCAGAAAATACAGGTCAAGTTTGAATTTGGTCATGGTCCAGTGATTTTTGACAGAGTTATCCCTCTTGAACTTGATAAAATGAGAAAATTTCAGTTTCTGCTCTCTAACTTTTGTAGGGATGTATGTACAAGGTTTAAATTGCATATGCAGGTATTTTACTAGAAAATATATGCAAAGTTCGAGTTTGGTCAGGGTCTGGTGATTTTTGGTAGAGATATCCCTCCTGAACTAGAAATTTTCAGTTTCCACTCTCTAACTTTTATAGGGATGTATGTAAAGATTAAATTGGCGTATGCAGGTATTTTACCAGAAAATACAGGTCAAGCTTGAATAAAATTTAAAACTAAATATAACATTTGAAATTTTGGCTGCCTGCGGGGGCATTTATGGCATTAAGACACATCTAGTTTTTTTTTTAAAAAATATTATTCAAAATGCATGTTTTTGACTACCACAATCAGTACTGAAATTAACCACGTTTGACCCTAAATTGTATATTATTTGCAGGGGCACATTCTTACTTTATATTTCTGTGCTGTGTCGGTAATCTATGAATAATAACACTGTTCAGGAGTGCTTTTACAGTTTGTGAATGCTCCACACAAGTTCACCTTTGCTAACTTATACATTTTCTTCTCATAATTATCATGTTTATCATATAAGTTTATTTAAACAATAAAATGCTTTCTTTGGTTGTTAGTACGGGAATTAATGTTGCAGCTGTTGCAGAAAAAATACATACCCGCGTTAGCGGGTTATGTGAATTTTTTCTGCAGTAGCTGCGACGTTAATTCCCGTACTAACAAACAAAGAAAGACATTTTATTGTTTATATTTATATCTTTTTTAAAAAAGCATTCAAAGTAAATTAAATACGTTAAATATTGTATCATAGATGTGTATGTCATTGTATGCATAATTGATGGAACAGCCGTTGCTTAAGATACCTATGCAGGTGGCTTGCTTAGTGTTGTTTATGGACTGCTTAACAGCAATAGTTTTTATAAGAAATAAAGGAAATAATATTCAGTGGATGTAAATATATAATTCATATACTCAATTCTGGGGGGAAAAATATGCATTGAATGATATGACATCAAAAAATTTATTCAACAACACAGAAAAATAATGTGGTGGACAATAGATACCTTCTTTATATTGTGTTTAAAAAAAAAGCTGGGTAAGATAAGTAAGTGTATCTATACACTGAATATTGTTCCATGAATATGGTTCATTTATCAAGAAGATGTATCTACATTATGAAATACAATATAAACTCAGGAATACAAATATTGGCAATTTTAACATGTTTTAAGGTGATAGTACATATTCTCCTCAAATGTTTTTCTTCAACAGTACTACTGTATATAGGGTTATTTTCGCCCCGTTTTATTTTCGCCCTTTCACACTTGCAAACAATTTTGCCCCGTTTTAAATTCGCCCACTCATAGTTTTGTTTAAGAAATTATACTGTATTCTTTGAATTCGCCCCGTTTTAAATTCGCCCAAATGAGGGTAGGGCGAAAGGGGCGAAAATTTCCCTGTATACAGTATGCCATCAAAAAGGGAAACATACAATATGTTAAGAGTTTAATCATTTGGCACATGGATGTCTTTATATACGCAATTAAACTTATGCTTGTTCAAACATTAACCCTTCAATCCAAACTCAGATGATTCGTAGAAAAATCTTAAATAGGCAGGTCATGGTTAAACAATGGCTGTCCATTCAATTATCCTAATAAAGCATTCTATGAAATTAAATGTCAAGGCACTGAGTTTGTAGATTTCAAAATTTCTACGGTATATCCTAATTATGTGTGTACCATCATATCAAATATGGAAATAAACAATGTTAAATGTAAAAAATAATTCATCTTCATGAAAAACTAAATCTGGAAAATATGTGTCAAACGAAATCTTGCTAAAATATTGCATTTTCATGAAAAATTTTGCAATTGCTTTTCTGGAGTTTCACAACTTACAATGGAACAAGAGATTACCAACTACAATGTAATCTGTAGAAAAGTAACATTATACAAATGGTTCTTAATTACACTGAAGTATAAAATAACTAATGTATATCCTAACATAATGACATTAAATAAGGGATTCAATCAATTAAGATGGGAGTTGATCAAACAGCATAAACACATAAATCAGTATATACTGGCCAACCAGCTAAAAATAATTTATTATATTAAATATATATTATTTACATTTCATAGTATTTTCTCTATAATAACCCTTCTTTTTCATTTAATTTCCTTTAAATTTTGTTAGTGGTTAATCATTTATTACTCAAATCAAATTATACAGCTATTAACCAGATACAAAATGTTGATGGAGTTTCAATCTTATTTTACATACACTTCATAGTCTTCAATGTTGAATACTATTCAATAGCAGTGATATAGTAATAACATATTCCCAGAGCAGCAATAAATTATTAATACTGATGTACTCTCACATTCTATTACCACACACAACTTGTATTAACTATACACACACACATTCATATCTAGAACATTCGGATCCCCTCAGTCCTGTCCATCATCCATCAAGTCAACATTTGGGTCCCCTCAGTCCTGTCTATCGTCCATCAAGTCAACATTCGGATCCCCTCAGTCCTGTCCATCGTCCATCAAGTAATCAACCTTTTCTGGAACTCGTTTACATCCTGTCACAGAAAAAACTTCCAAATCAGGTGGATAATAATTCAGTTCTTTGGAGATCTTATATACTATATCTTCTGGTATCTGGTCCCGTTTATAGTAATTTTTGGCCACTAGGAAGTCTTTGATACATTCCCGGACATGTTTCCTTTCCAGTGGTAGAAATGGTACATAGGCTGTGATCAGGTGCTTTATTATAATGTCACACCGGTACATACCACCTGTAAAAGCCAGATAATAAACATAATGTCACTACTCTATTGTCCACCAATTAGACTACTTAACAAGCACTTGTTAGAATGACATAGTGGGAGTAAAATGTCCAAAGTTTTCTTTTTGAAAAAGAATATTCATATCATGATCTCACTTCTTATTTCAGGTCTCTTAAATTAATCTGACATCATCATCATCATTATAACAATGCCCTTAATCTATAAAGGATAGCACAGTTAGTTTACAAAACTAGTTTTCATTGTGATCCTGAAAACATATTTATAGAGAGCGATTATGTATAAATGATAAGAATAGGAATAAGGTAATCTTTTCTTATAAATTAGTAAATTTTACAAAAACAATGTAGTGATAAACTTGCTTACATTTAAAGAGAAAAAGTCAATTAATGAATATGGTATATACCAGTAATGTAAATAGTGGTGTATTCTAAGTTTCTACTTTACTAAAGCTGTTAAAAATTTGTAATTTAACCAATATATTTCAGGGAGTTTTTCTGAATACAGAATTTTGTATTAAATACTAGGCCTTTACATAAGGTGTGAAAATCTAACTTTCATATAAAAAAAGAACAAGAGGTCCATGGGCCACAATGCTCACCTGAGTCAACATGGCCTTGTCATTCTTCATCAGCAAATTTTTTCTCCTATATATTTATACCGGTATGTAAAATTTTAATCACCTCTTCTAGCCCTACTCTATCCTTAGGTGTCATGGTTTGAACACCTTTGACCCTAAATACTTAAATATCTATCTGAGGATGCTTCCATATTCATATGACTAAACACGGCTTTGCTGTTCTTGAGAAGAAGATTTTTAAAGATGTCTGCCACCCTACCCTGGGTAGTCATGATTTGAATAAACTTGAATCTTACACTACCTGAGGATGCCTCTGTATCAATATGACTAGTAATGCATTTGCTATTCTTGAGAAAAAGATTTTAAAAATCGATTCTCCTGGGGATCATGATTTGAACAAACTTGAATTTTACACTACCTGACAATGCTTCTGTATTGAAATGACTTGTAATAACTTTGTAATTCTTAAGAAAAAAAAGTTTTTTAAAGATTGTTTTATATAGATATTTGTATGTAAAACTTTGATCACCATTTTGGCCACATCCTAGCCCTGGGGGTCGTGATTTGAACAAATTAAAATCTTACACTGCCTGAGGATGCTTCCATATCAATATGACGAGTAATGACAGTTATTCTTTTAAAAAAAATACCTGGTAAAATAAAGATTTTTTTTTCTATATATTCCTATATAAAACTTTGATCCCCCATTTTGGTCCCAACCTATCCCTAGGGGTCATGATTTGAACAAATTTGAATCTACACTATCTGAGGATGCTTTCATATCACTATGATTAATCATGGCTTTGCTGTTCTTGAGAAGAAGATTTTTAATTTCCCTATATATTCTTATGTAAAACTTTCATCCTCCATTGTGGCCCTACCCTAATCCAGGGGTCATGATTTGAACAAACTTGAATCTACACTTCCTGAGGATGCATCCATATCAATATGACTAATTGTAGCTTTGTTGTTCTTGAGAAGAAGATTTTTAAAGATTTTTAATTTCCCTATTTATTCCTATGTAAAGCTATGATCCCCCATTGTAGCCCCCATCCTACATCAGGGGTCATGATTTGAACAAATTTGAATCTGCACTATGTAATAAAGGTTTCACATAAGTCTTACTTTTCTGGCCCAATTGTTCTCAAGAAGGAAATTTTTAAAAGATGACACCAAATTTTCACAAATTCCTAGTTTTCTCCCCTTGAAAGAGGGCATGGCCCTTCATTTGTACAAACTTGAATTCTCTTCACCCAAGGATGCTTTGTGGCAAGTTTAGTTGAAATTGGCCCAGTGGTTCTGGAGAAAAAGTTGAAATGTAAAAAGTTTACAGACAGACAGATAGATAGATGGATGGACAGCTAGATGGACAGACAGATGGACACCAGACAAAATGTGATCAGAAAAGCTCACTTGAGCTTTCAGCTCAGGTGAGCTAAAAAATGTGCTGATAAATTATCTGTAAAATGTGCATTTTTGCTTCTTTTATCCTTGATGGAATTGGGCAAATTGCACAAATGTTCACAAGCACGTACAGAAAAAGGAATTTCATAGACAGTGGACCTCTTTGTTGCCTCAGAAATAAGCAATATGAGATTGTATGCTTAAGATATTTAGTATAAGTGCTGTAGAATTGTTACTTTTAAAATGTAAGACTGTTTTTCTATAGAAATATACAGTATTCTAAGACTTGCTTGATTTGGAGTTGACTGTAGCCCTGCTGATGATTTCTTCCATTTCATGGAGTCCTATGTCTTGTCTGGAATTCCACCTGCTTAAGGTATGTTTTGATATTTCTTCTCCTGCTGTGTTACTGAAATATATTATCATTTAAAAATTAAACAAACTGTCTATGAGCCTTGCATTGACTATTGTATTTTTTTTTTGCACATCCCAAAGCCCCAAGATGCATCAAATGGCCATACTTAATGATCCTAAGCCTTTTAGTATTATCTGAATTTAGGAAAACATATTTAAACATAAAGTGCCCTAAAATTAAAGAAAAACATAGGTAATCAGAGATTACAGAGCTCACCTCAACGAATGTTGTCTTTAAGGAAGGCAAAGTCCCACACTAAACTAATAATCTAGGAGTATGCATCCCTAGATGCAACATTTATGCAATTTTGGTCTGATAGGGCTTGCAGTTACTTGGGAATAGACTTATCTGAAAACTTAAAACTAGTCACTCATCCAGAAAATGTAAGTCAAATCCAGCATCCGAAGCAAGTTTGAGATTGTTCATCCCTTGATGCATCATCCATGCAAGTTTGGTTCAGATAGGCCTTATAGTTACTTGGAAATGAGATCTGCTACAAAAACTTTAACCTGATTACTCATCCGGAAAATGTAGGTTAGATCCAGCATATGAAGCAAGTCCAGTAATGTGAATCCTTAGATGTATCATCCATGCAAGTTTGGTCAATATAGGGTTTATAGTTACTTGGAAATGACATCTGCTCCAAAAACTTTAACCTGGTCACTCTTCCGAAAAATTTAGGTCAGATCCAGCATCCGAAGCAAGTCCAGTAGTGTGCATCCTTAGATGTTACATCCATGCAAGTTTGGTCAATATAGGGCTTATAGTTACTTGGAAATGACATCTGCTCCAAAAACTTTAACCTGGTCACTCTTCCAGAAAATATAGGTCAGATTCAGCATCCGAAGCAAGTCCAGAAGTGTGCATCCTTAGATGTATCATCCATGCAAGTTTGGTCAATATAGGGCTTATAGTTACTTGGATATGAGATCTGCTCCAAAAACCTTAACCTCGTAACTCATCCGGAAAATATAGGTCAAATCCAGCATCCAAAGCAAGTCCAGTAGTGTGCATCCTTAGATGTATCATCCATGCAAGTTTGGTCACTATAGGGCTTATAGTTACTTGGATATGAGATCTGCTCCAAAAACCTTAACCTGGTCACTCATCCGGAAAATATAGGTCAAATCCAGCATCCAAAGCAAGTCCAGTAGTGTGCATCCTTAGATGTAACATCCATATAAGTTTGGTCAATATAGGGCTTATAGTTACTTGGAAATGAGATCTACTCCAAAAACCTTAACCTAGTCACTCATCCGGAAAATGTAGTTCAGATGTAGCATCCAAAGCAAGTTTAGTAGTGTGCATCCTTAGATGTATCATCCATGCAAGTTTGGTCAATATAGGGCTTATAGTTACTTGAAAATGAGACCTGCTCCAAAAACTTTAACCTGCTCCAAAAACATTAACCTGGTCATTCTTTAGCTGAAATTGCAGCATCTGAAACCTTGACTGGTACAATGAAACACACTAGAAGCATCCTCCATGCATCTCTGACTAATATAGGCCATAGAAGTACTTGAAAAGAAAACTGCTCCAAAAACCTTAATCTGGGATGGTATTACATAAGCTCCCCCAACTTCGTTGAGGTGAGCTGAAAATTGTATTGTCATATCCTATCACAATTAAAAGAAGCAATATTAAATTGTTAAGATTTGAGGAATCTACCTGTAGGCCTAAGTGTGCAAGATATCAAAATTTCAAGAAGTTTTATTTAGGGACAACTTTGGAGTGACCTAGAGAGTAAAATATAATTCTAATATGCTTAATTTGTGTGTGTGTGTGTGTGTGTGTGTGTGTGTGTGGATTGGATGGTTGGTGAAAATCAGAGAGTTTTTGAGATATGGATCATTTTCAAAATGTTGATGCACAGTGCACAAATGATCAGAGCAAAAGCTAGTTTTTGGTTCAGATGAACCTGAAACTTAAATTCATAATTATTTGATTTACAAAATCTGAAGTTCATATTATTCTGACTAATGCCAGCAATTTATCATTTGAACCATAATTTGTGTCATAAGTATCAATAAATATTGGTATTTAGATGGTGATACTGAAGATTTAAAAAAAAAAAAAAACCATTTAAATTCAAAACTCTAGTAAACCTTCTCCCTACAGTAATTGTGTTAGCAAAATTTACTGACTGTCATCAATAGAATTCTGTAGGGACCAGTCTATTATTAGCAATTTTTATTTAAAATCAGATAAAACCAAAAATGTGTAATTTTTGAAGCACTAATTACAGTTAATTCAATAGACATTCCTGTATTCCCATTCACTTATGAGCCTCTTTGTGTGATATTGACACTTGCGGAATTTAAAACTTTCTACGAAAATTAATAAAAAGAATTTAAAGGATAAATTGAAACAAAAAACAGATTTTCAATCAATCTATTATAATTTATAGGTCTGAATGTGATGCTAATCTTTAATTCAAAAGTTTACTAAACAGTACACCAAAGCAAATGAGCAATTTTTACTTCATTCCGCAGTTTTTTGAGACTTTTAAGTCTAATCTATGTTACCTGAGAAAAAGGAACATAGACTTTCTGTAGTCTGTGCCAGAAAGATGCTCGTAATAATCCAGGTATGGTTTTAAAGTGTCAATTATCCCAGGTGGCATCTTGTCAATTTCGTCAAAGATAAACAGAGACTGGGGGCACTCCTTTACACTGCTCTCTACTAAATCTCGCAGTTTGTCCTGAAAAAAAAATTCAACACTGCATAAGTATAGAAAACTAACTTTTTAATACAGTTTTTTTTTTTTTGCCACCATCACAATGAAGAAATAATGTTTTAAAGACAAGTGTCCTTATAAACAATATCAAAATTGGAGAAAACCTATTTCAGTCTTACCAATGTTTACACTGTTTAGTTTCTTCTTTCCCAGTAAGAGAAGAAAATATGTACATGTATTTACACATTAGGCCATCATTAAAACTTTTATTGTTTGATGTACTCTGACCCATATTTTTCAAGATTGGTAGATAGGTAGGGTTTTTTAAAAAATTTTTCTAACAATTTGACAATTGCTTATACGGTAAATCACTGACTTAGAAATTTTCATTATAGACACCTGTCAGCTAAACAAATTTAATAAATTATCTATTTCTCTAAAATCTTTTACTCTAAAAAGAATCTTAGAAAATTGATAGACTTTAACTTTAAAAACAGTACAGATAATCTATTTTAAAAAAAGAATTTGAAGTAATGAAAAAAAAGATTGGGCAGGGGCAATTTAATAGATTGGTCGGAGAACATCAAACAAATCATTTTTTATTGTTGGCCTTTAAAAAAACCTTGTCCAGTTTGTCCCACACCTTATCTAATCCCACATCACCTCAACATTGCTTTTACCTCTCTTAATTGTGATCACTGTTTTCTTAACCTTCGCTAAAATCATAATACTATTAAACTTTTCACTCCATTGAAATTTTCAACTTTCCTCTACTTTTATCTTTTCACCAGCTTTGCATCCTTTTAATAGTACTCTAATCAGAGGGCGAATAGAACAGAGATAGATACCTTATAAAGAGGAACCATGTCTTTATGTGGAAATTCTTTAGTTGCTGATATCAAATGGACATATCTGCTCCTCATTCCCTTCTTGAAAATACTTTCTGCAATTATCTTGCTAACATAGTTTTTCCCTGTCCCTGTGCCCCCATGGAAGGAGAGTGTAAGTGCTTTTGATGGGTCCTTTGTCATGTGTGCTTTTATATGCTTGATGATGATATCAATCACTAGATGTTGCCCAAAAAGTCGACTTTGAAGATCTTCTCGTAGAGCTTTATTTCATCAAATGCATTAAATAATTATTTTAATTTAATAGAGTACTTAAAAAACATACCTTTAAAAAACAGGGTAGTATGTTATGAAGATACAGTTTATTTATAATTCTAAAGTTAAAAATGTTATATATTCTTTCCGATGAAATTTTGACATTATTATAACCTGTAGTGTTAAGATTGATCCATTTTGATGTACAACATTCTTTAAAATGACATTTAATTGGCGTGAAAACCGTCCATACACCCGCCACCACTGTAGCTCCAAGAGCTCCAATGGCTGAAAATGGTTCAATCCCAGATACACAACTAAATAGACAGAAAAACACTATCAATCTCATGAAGTCCATGGTCTCTGGTGGTGAAAAAGAGAAACCCCGCGAGTATAAACAAATCGAAAGTAGAAAATAAAAATTAAAAACGTGAACGATCTCAGAAAAACTTAATCCGGATTTTCAATAAACATTTTTAAAAAAAATATTAAAGTGTTCCATTTAGAATCCATGTAAATTTGTTACTGTAGAATTTTATGGAATATTTTTATTGATACATTTTTCATTTTTTTTTATCCTGTCTTCGTGAAAACAAATATATTCCGTATCTTTCCAAGTTTAGAAGTCACATGACCCTAACAAAGATCAGGTACAACGCACAAAATAAGTGACAAATAATAAACGGTCTCAGGTCAGGGAAATAGGTATAGATCTATATATACATGTGATTTATTCTAATAGATTGATATCATTTGTACTCTTAAGGTATATGGAGATATAGATTTATTGATTAAATATACCATCTCTCCTGTTTTGGGAAGGGAGTTCCTTTAGCTGATTGTTTACATATAGGGTCAATTTTTGTCATCTTTAAACCAGCTCATTCTCTTGTGACAAATATATGAATCACAGTGGCGAAGATTAGGATATGTTTTTAATACCAAAACATCTGTCCACCAGCAAATATTTAAATTTTTAAAAAAAGGAGAATCAAAAAAAGGCATTCAGATTGTAGTGAGATCTATCAGTAAGTTCAAATTTTATTACACTTTAGCATATTGGAACAGTATTGTTGATAGCAAAATTGCATAGTGTAAATTAAAGCACCAGATTAAATGTCAGCATATGTTAATAAACGCTTTATGTTGATACATGCATGTGTATTGAGATCAGACATACATGTAAGAATGTTAAAAATACAGTCAAACCATGGTATCTCAACTTGATTGGACCTAGAAAAAATTGAGATATCAGGGGATTCAACATATTGAGGTTAAAATCATAAAGAAAGGGTGGTTGAGGTCTCACTTCAACAAATCCATGGTATTAAAGAGAAAGTTTGAGATACATGTACCAAAGTTCAACTGTATGTTGTAATTTTTTTCTTTTCAGACCTGGTCTACACCTGTGAAGATGGCGCTACCTTCTGTCTCTTCATGGCAATTCATATTTTGCCTCTGTTTAGTCCCCATTCTGTTAAGCCCTGCTGACACAGTAGCATCCCAAACCTTCAGTGCTAATTTAGAATCATTGGTAGAAAAAGCTGAACTACCCACGAGTGCCAACTCAACCACAATTTTTTATAGTTCTAATGTACCAAGTTCCAGTAAAATCCATACAACTAATGAAAAGGATACCACCATAGGAAATAATACCACTGAGCATTATACCACTAGTAACACCACTACCTGGATAACCACTCAGTCAACATTTACACAGTCAACTGCTATTGGTACAACAGCTGCTAATTCTGAGGACAACAGTACAATTCCACAATACATTGGGTTTATTGCAGCAGGAGTATCTGTCCTACTTTACGGCAGTAACTTTGCTCCAGTCAAGAAGTTTGAAACTGGAGATGGTACAACTTTTCAATTATAGTTTGAAATATTCTTGATTGGGTTTGCTCATCTGTATGCAAAAGGGCAGTAAATCATTTTGATTTCAATGATATTTTTTTTTAAAAAAAGTGTCTTTTCATTCCTGTAAGTATTGTTTCATGTCAGCTTGGTTTAAAGTTAAAAGTCAGTGCAAGCTGGAATAGACTGATTTGGGCTCTTCTTTAAACAACTGTTTTAACATCTTAAATGTGAACAGTAAATCCCTTAAATGATAACATGATTATTGTCTTCATTAAGATTTTCCCCACCCTTTTAAGGACTTTATCATTCTGTTATTGATGTTTCCTGCCTTTATAGGAATGTTCTTTCAGTGGATTTTGTGTGGAGCTGCCCTACTAGTGGGAATCATAGTACAGGTGATACGCGGTACACGACATTTCTATCCACTGGTGATGATAGGGGGTCTGGTGTGGGAGACAGGTAAGGCTTCCAAATGATTATATATATGTATATTTGCCTATAAGAATATCACAGTGACTTTATGACTACTCATATTACAACAAAGTAATTAGTCAACCAAAACAGTCAACCAAAACAATTCTTGCAAGCAGATATATGGATAGAGTTATTGTGATCGTTTTAATGGTATGCAATAAATATTTGTTTAATTTCAAATTGACTGATTATTTGGAGAAAATTGAGATCTAAGAAAGTCTTTGAATTTCAGGTAATATTTGTGTTGTCCCTATTATTAAGACTATTGGTATGGGACTTGGTTTGTGTATCTGGGGAATGACGAATCTTCTCAGTGGCTGGGCCACCAGCAGGTAGGTTATATCATCATCTTTCTAATAATACATGCACAGAATAATGAGTTGATATCATGATATGTCTAATGGGACATACATAGAATAAGTAGGTAATATCATCACATGTCTAAACATCTTTGTAAGCCAAGGATTTTCGGTCAGCTTCGCTGATCCCCACATACTTTGGCAGATTACCCCACTAAAACTGTGGCCGACGTAAGTGACATCTTCCAGGCATACTAAATTTTAACTCTAGATTCTAGCCAATCAGATGACAGTTTTTAAATTGTAGCCTAGTATCCATTGTAAACAAGAAATGGAGGTCTACATGAAAGGAGAAATAAAAGAACTTCAGGAAGTAATTAAAGGCTTATCAATGGACCAGAATAGAGGTGAAATGAGGATATGTGGGTTCAAGAACACGGAAATGCAAATTGTTTATAGATGATTGTTAGTTTGTTGTTTTTATAAATGATATAATGAGACATGAAAGCTGTCTTCTCATTTGTTCAAAGGGAAAACTTGGAAGGAATAAAATACATGTATCGGTCACAGTTTTAGTGGCATAATCTGCTAAGGGTTCAAAACTAGTTTATATATCAAGAAGCATAGTGTACCAGCAAGTTATCTGATCTTATTTCTTCTTTAAATGAGAACATATAATTCATCCAAGTAGATTAAGAAATTTTATATAATTATTGACTTTTGATGAGGTCTGTTGGTGACTCTATGGAACTGGTCAGATACTTAGACCAATGGCCAAGATTAACCAATATATGACCAGGTCCACATATTCTCTAGTAGACAGATTTCAACAGTCAATTACCATTTTAAAATTAGAAATTTTGTATAATTTTTCAGACTGCATTACATGTATTTGTGTTTTACAATGACACATGCATTAAAACGTGCAAATTGATTGGTTGATAAAATTGTAGCCAAATCTATGGTTGACCAAGAAGGAAAACCCGAATAAACCTCACGGAACTTCATATTTAGGTGAACTCACTCTAAGGTTCACCTCAGGAAAGAGAGACGACCAGTCAGAGAACATCAAAATTCCTCATCATTTAATAAAGCTTAATATAGACTTTCTTTTTATAGATTTGGTTTGTTTGGAGTAACACCAAGTGATAAGATCGGAAACGATACGTTGAACACCGTAGGAGTGGTGGTAGCAGTGTTCAGGTAGAAAATAAAATCATTTATTATACTTCTGTTGAAATGTTTCCTATATAAAGTTAAGAAGGTAGAATAACTATTTTTTATAGTCTGAAGATTTCCAAGCATAGCAAAACTTTACCCCGGGTATAGTTTTTGCTACCCACCCCTCGGAAAATTTTCATACAATTTTTGCCACCAATTTTGATTTTCTATAATCAATCTGTAGATTGATGATGTCATCCTGACTTCAGTAGCATTGTGACATCATCAGGATTTCAGCTTATTCTAGCAGTGTTATCTTATTATTCCAAATACTTGTTCAAAACTTAGATAATTATTCTTTTCATGTTTTGCCTATGAAACTGTAGTACAGTTGTATCAGGTAATGCAAACCCTCAGAAATTATGATATACATCAGTATAAAACGCTTAACTACTGGCTGTGAGTGGGATAGCTCTTTCATCAAACCCTTGACAGGAACTATTCCCCTCAGGCAAGCCCTCGGGGAATAGTTCCCTGTCGCGGGTTTGATAAAAGAGCTATCCCACTCACTACAGTGGATAAGTGTATAATATTTGATTAGTGCCACCTAGTTTTGCTAATAATGGATACATTGAAATCCTTCATACATGTAATGTGAGTTGAATGGAATAAAACATTTCCCAGAAATATTATACACTTATCCACTGGCTGTGAGTGGGATAGCTCTTTTATCAAACCCGCGACAGGGAATAGTTCATGTCAAGGGTTTGATGAAAGAGCTATTCCACTCACAGCCAGTGGATAAGCGTTTTATTATACTGATATGTATCATAATCTCCGAGGGTTGGATTTACCTGATACTACAGTTCCATAGGAGAAACATGAAAAAAAATAATTATAAAAGTTTTGAACAAGTATTTGGAATAAGATAACACTACTAGAATGAGCGAAAATCTTGATGACGTCACAATGCTACTGAAGTCAGGATGACATCATTAGTCTATAGATTGATTACAGGAAATCAAAATTGCATGAAAATTTTTCGAAGGGGTGGGTAGCAAAAACTATACCCCAGGGTATATCTTTGCTATGCATGGAAATTTTCAGACTATAAAAGATAGTTATTTTACCTTCTTAACTTTTTATAGGAATCATTTTAACAGAAGTATAATAAATACAAATATTTATGTGATTCTTCTATGACTGTAAATTTAATGTATTACCCCAATCTGATATGGTAACTCATGTATCTAATTCCTAAGGGTGTAAAGTCTAAGACTTAAGAAAACTGTAACTGTAGTCACAAAGTTATTATTTTTTTTATTTTTTCATTATGTGAATGAGAATAGTTTTGGTGTTTTATAATCAGAATGAGCATAGTATTAGCAGTTTGTCTAAGAAATTAAGAAGCTTAGTGGCTATCACAAGTCCTTAATTGTATTCTCATTTCAGCTCAATCATTTTTGCCTTTGTGAGGAATGAAGTTACCCCAGTAGAGATTTCTGAGACAGAACCACTTCTCAACAACACAGTAAGTTCTATATTCCCCATTATTGTAAATTCTCTACTCTCAGTTACTGTAAGTTCTCTATTGCCTGTAATTGTAAGTCCTATATTCTGTCATGCTAAAGTTATATATTGCCTGTAATTGTAAGTTCTCTATTCTATGTTATTTTTAAGTTCTCTTATGACTGTTATTGTGAGTTCTCTATTTCATGCTGCTGTAAGTTCTAAATCCCTGTTACTATTAGTCCTCTTGTCTTGTAAGTTCTCTACTGCCTGTCATTGGGTAGGTGTATGTATAAACTTTTGTGCGGAGGATTAGGTCTGTTATGATGTATCGATTTTGTTGAATTCACATTGTCTCAGCTGTGGACAAACTGATCACTAAAATCAGTGATTGATCATAAAATTATTGATTAAATAAATACATAATGTCATATTCTTCTCTGCTTTAGTTTCGTCTTTTTGTTGTATTACCAGTGAGTATAGCATTCAATGTTTAACTTTGTTTGCTTGGACTCCCATAATGTGAACATCCAATTAAAAATTATCCTATGATAATCATTTGCATACAATAATGGTGACATTAAAAAAGAACATTCATTGTTTAAAGAATATGATATAAATAAATTTTCATTAATTTCCATAAATTCCTTTCAAATTAATTGATTGTAATTGATCATTTATAAATAGGTGACAGTAAATTACAAAGTAAATCAGAACACTATAGAAGAGTTTTCTTCATTTTCAGACCTGTTCATCATTAATTTTTATCCTGCTTATTGGCTTACAGTATGATATTTGTACCCTAAATATGCAAGGTCTTTTGTCAAAGTGCATTGAAATTTCCTGGCTATTTAAAAGTAGGAACCTAAATTTTGCATATGTTTGACAATTTGATGTACAGGTGCATAAAAATATGGTTCAGGTTTGTTCAAAAATAACTTTCTCAGGGAAAATTTCACAATTTTGATACACATATCAAGATATTAGTAGTCCAAGAGCAGTTGATAAATTAAAATTTTTATTGACAAACCATAAATATCCAGTGATAACCCTGTTTTGATGAATAGAAGAGAAACTTGCTTACAATATTATTAGTTCAACTGAGTCAAAAGCTTAAGTGAGTTTCTTTGATCAAAATTTGTCTGTTGTCGTTGTTGATGTTGTCATTGTCATAAACTTTTTACAATATCATCTTCTTCTCCAGAACCATAGTGCAAATTTCAACCAAACTTGCCACAAAGTATCCTTGGGTAAAGGGGATTCAAGTTTCTTCAAATGAAGGACCATGTCCTCTTCCAAGGGGAGATAATTACGAATAAGTAAAAAATTAAAGGCATCTTTTAAAAATCTTCTTCCTAAGAACTACTGGACCAGGAAAGATGAATCTTATGTGGCAGCGTTATCAAATACTGGTAGTGTAGATTCAATTTTTTTAGATCATGACCACCAGGGGTAGGATGGGGCCAAAATGGGTGATCAGAGTTTTACATAGGAATGCATAATGAAAATCTTTGAAAAGAACAGCAAAGCCATGATCGGTCATAAATATATGGAAGCTCCCCAGGTTGTGTTACTGTGTAGATTCAAATTTGTACAAATCATGACCCCCAGGAGTAGGGTGGGGCCACAATGGGCAATTGAAGTTTACATAGGAATACATAGTAAAAATGTTTAAAAATCTTTTTCTCAAGAGCAGAAAATCCATGATAGATCAAATTTATATGGAAGCATTCCCAGGTAGTTTAGATTCATATTTGTTCAAATCATGACCCCAGAGGGTAGGGTGGGGCCACAATGAGTGATCAAAGTTTTAATAGGAATACATAGGAAAAACTTTTAAAAAATCTTCTTAGGAACAGCAAAGCCATGATTGGTCAAATTTATATGAAAGTATTGTCAGGTGGTGTAGATTTAATTTTGTGCAAATCATGACCCCTAGTGGGTAGGGTTGGGCCATAACAGGAGATCAAATTTGTACAGTACATAGGAAAATATAGGAAAGATCATTAAAAATCCTTTTCTCATTAACAGCAAAGCCTTGATTAGTCATATTAATACATAAGCATTCTCAGGTATTGTAGATCCAAGATTGTTCAAATCAATCAATGACCCCCAGGGGTAGGACAGGGCCAAAAAAGAAGATAAAACATACAGGAAAATAATTGTTAAAAATCTTATAAAGCCATGATTAGTGATACACTTATATATTTATATTTTTCAATACTGTAATGATTTCTGCTTTTTCCCAGCCAGAGTGCTCAGGTGAGCAATGTGGCCCATGAGCTGAGCTTCTTGTGCTGTTATGTTACACTTCTCTGCCAAGTAGTTTAAACCAAGTTATGGACCATATTATTTTAAAAAAAGATCTAAATGAATTGACACTGGTATATTTCTAAATCATTATTTTTTAAACAGCTGACCAATTTCAAACAAAGTAAAATTAAAAAAAAATTACACAGTCCATTATACCTGGTATATGTTTTTTTTTCCATGTTCATAGTTTTGCCTTTTTAACTACAGTACAATTCTCCAGCTCTGCTCCTCTAAGTAATCAGGGTAAACTTGTATTTCAGCCCTCTGGACAAGGTTATGGCTCACCCGGGGATTCCCTGTACAGTAACACAAACAATCACGATCAGTTGGTCTTCAATCAGAGAAGAGTAGGTACCATCTTGTTAAGAGTAAACCCAGAAATCGGAGACACCTTGTCTGTCCATTCCATATCAAATAGTATGAAAACAGTGCAGCAAGAATGAATCCCAACATTTATTATTTAAGTGTATATGTTTGTTCTCTGATAAGCATGCATATATCAAATATCTACAATATCTTAAGATGAGGAGAGCAGATTTTCTGTTGGCATTTCCAGTGGAGGTAACTTTTGTATAATACAGAAAAACACAGTTATAGCTAACATGCTTATAATAAATTCATGCTTTATAGAGAAGCGATTTTCATCCCCAGTAGTTTTAAAGCATTGTCAGTGTGAGAAAAAATTGTCCCTGACCACGCATCCCAGGGGGAGAATATGAAATCATAACCACTTGTCCCCATGATGATTTGATCGTCCCCATCAAGCTCACTTTTTGCTAAATAATAAGAATAAAAAGATTATGGCATTTTTATAGCTCACCTGAGCTGAAAAGCTCAAGTGAGCTTTTCTGATCACAATTTGTTTGTTGTCTGTCTGTCTGTCCATCCGTCTGTAAACTTTTAACATTTTTGACTTCTTCTCAAGAACCACTGGGCCAATATCAACCAAACTTGCCACAAAGTATCCTTGGGTAAAGGAGATTCAAGTTTATTCAAATAAAGGGCGATGCCTTTTTCCAAGGGGAGATAATTTCAAATATGTAAAAAAAATAAATGGCATCTTTTAAAAATCTTCTTCTCAATAACCACTGGGCCAGAAAAGATGAAACTTACATGGAAACATCCTCAGATAGTGTTGATTCAAGTTTGTTCAAATCATGACCCCAGGGGTAGGGTGGGATCACAATGGATGATCAAAGATTTATATAGGAATACATAGGGAAAAATTGTTAAAAATCCTCTCAAGAATGGCAGAGCCATGATTGGTCATATTTATATGGAGCAAACTCAGGTAGTTTTGATTCAAGTTTGTTGAAATCATGACCCCCAGGGGTAGGGTGGCACCACAGTGGATGATCAAAGATCTACATAGAAATACTTAGGAAAAATCTTTTTAAAATCCTCTTCTCCAGAACCACTGGGCCAGGAAAAATGAAACTTATGTGGAAATATCCTCAGGTAGTGTACATTCAAATTTGTTCAAATCATGACCCCAGGGGTAGGGAGGAGCCACAATGGATGATTAAAGATTTACATAGGAATACATAGAAAAATCGTTAAAAATTTTCTTCTCAAGAACAGCAAAGCCATGTTTGGTCATATTTTTATGGAAGAATCTTCAGGTAGAATAGATTCAAGTTTGTTCAAATCATGACACCTGGGGGGAGGTTCAAAGATTTACATAGCAAAACTTAGGAAAATCTTTAAAAATCTTCTTCTCCTGAACCACTGGGCCAGGAAAAATGAAAGTAAACCGTTACCCTCAGGTAGTGTGGATTCAAGTTTGTTCAAATCATGACCCCCAGGGGAAGGGTGGGACCACAATGGCAACAATCAAAGTTTTACATGGGAATACATAGGAAAAATCTTTAAAAATCTTCTCCAGAACCACTGGGCCAGGAAAGATAAAACTTATTTGGACTCATCCTCAGGTAGTGTAGATTCAAGTTTGTTCAAATCATGACCCATGGGGGTAGGACGGGCCACAATGGATGATCAAAGATTTACATGGGAATATATGGGAAAAATCTTTAAAAATCTTTTTCTCAAGAACCACTGAGCCATGATTGGTCACATTTATATGGAAGCATCCTCAGGTAGTGAGATTCAAGTTTGTTCAAATCATGACCCCCGGAGGTAGGATGAGGCCACAATGGACAATCAAAGTTTTACATAGGAATACATAGGAAAAACCTTCTTCTCCAGAACCACTGGGCCAGGAAAGATGAAACTTATGTGGAAATATCATCAGGTTGTGTAGATTCAAGTTTGTTTAAATCATGATCCCTGGGGGTAGGCTGGGGCCATAGTGAACCATCAAAGTTTTCCATAGGAATACATAGGAAAAATCTTTAAAAATCTTCTTCTCAAGAACAGCAGGGCCATGATTGGTCATATTTATATGTAAGCACCCTCATGTAGTATAGATTCAAGTTTGTTCAAATCATGACCCCCCGTGAATGGAATAGGTGGGGTCAAATGGATGATCAAAGGTTTGCATAGATATACTTGGGAAAAATCTGTAAAAAATCTTCTTCTCAAGAACAGCCATGATTTGTCAAAGAAATATAGTAGCATCCTCATTTAGAGTAGATTCAAGTTTGTTCAAATTATTCCCCCTTCCCCTTAGGGATAGGTTGATACCACTCATAAAATATTGAAGTTGTGGCCAAAGTTCTCAGGTGAGTAATGTGGCCCATGGGCCTCTTGTTCAGATTTCATTTAAATTGTGTCTGAAGTACATATGATATTTATTAGAGTCTGAGTCTCTTGTTAAATCATTTCATTTTTCAGTAAAATTATCACTGAATAAGAGAAAAACATATGAATAACAAGCATTCTGAGAGTATTGCATTAGCAATACTAGTCCCCTACCGGCAAGTGTAATCTGGTTCCCGTTAAAAATTGAAAATGCCATAATTTCGTCAAAAATCAATGAAGCGGAACGAAATGCAAACTTGATCTGTAACTCATCAAGGTAAAGTTGCATACCAAAAATCAGCTCAATATCTGCAAGCGTTTAGAAGAAAATTGCGGAAAACCCTTAAAAATTGAAGAGGTCGTAATTCCGTCAAAAATCAATGAAGCGGAACGAAATGCAAACTTGATCTGTAACTCATCAAGGTAAAGTTGCATACCAAAAATCAGCTCAATATCTGCAAGCGTTTAGAAGAAAATTGCAGAAAACCCTTAAAAATTGAAGAGGTCGTAATTCCGTCAAAAATCAATGAAGCGGAACGAAATGCAAACTTGATCGTGACTCATCAAGATACACTCATATACCAAAAATCAGCTCAATATCTGCGTTTAGGAAAAAAGTGCGGAAAACCAAGTGGGACAGACTGACAGACAGACAGAGGGACAGACGGACAGACTCAGAGGAAACCTATAGTCCCCTCCGGTTTCACCGGTAGGGGACTAACAAGCATTCTGAGAGTATTGCATTAGCAATACTAGTCCCCTACCGGCAAGTGTAATCTGGTTCCTGTTAAAAATTGAAATGCCATAATTCTGTCAAAAATCAGTGATGTGAAACGAAATGCAAACTTGGTCTATAACTCATCAAGATAAAGTCACATACCAAAAATCAGCTCAATATTCACAAGCATTTAGAAAAAAAGTGCGGTAAACCAAGTGGGACCTTGAAAAATTGAAAAGGTCGTAATTCCGCCAAAAAGCACTGAAGCGGAATGAAATGCAAACTTGATCTGTAACTCATCAAGATACACTCACTTGCCAAAAATCAGATCAATATCTGCAAGCATTTAGAAAAAAAGTGCGGAAAACCAAGTGGGACAGACTGACAGACAGACAGACAGACAGAGGACAGACAGACAGACAGACAGACAGCTAGACAGACGGATGGACAGACTCAGAGGAAACCTATAGTCCCCTCCGTTTTCACCAGGAGGGGACTAACAAGCATTCTGAGAGTATTGCATTAGCAATACTAGTCCCCTACCGGCAAGTGTAATCTGGTTCCTGTTAAGAATTGAAAATGCCATACATAATTCCGACGAAATTCAATGAAGCGGGACGAAATGCAAACTTGATCTATAACTAATCAAGGTAAAGTCACATACCAAAAATCAGCTCAATATCTGAAAGCGTTAAGAAGAAAATTACGGAAAACCCCTAAAAATTGAAAAGGCTGTAATTCCGTCAAAAATCAATGAAGCGGAACGAAATGCAAACTTGATCTGTAACTCATCGAGATACACTCACATACCAAAAATCAGCTCAATATCTGCAAGCATTTAGGAAAAAAATGCAGAAAACCAAGTGGGACAGACTGACAGACAGACAGAGGGACAGCTAGACAGACGGACGGACAGACTCAGAGGAAACCTATAGTCCCCTACGGTTTCACCGGTAGGGACTAATAAATATAATGTCCTTTCAATTTAAGTTAACATAATATTGAAAGACTGGTAGATTTTTTTCCCCTGGAAATATGGTTTGCATTCTACTCTCCATTGAAGTCTCATTCAATACAATAAATATTATGTCCTTTCATTATAAATTAACATAATATTGAAAGGCTGGTAGATTTTTTCCCCTGGAAATATGGTTTGCATTCTACTTTCTATGAAGTCATACCTGTGGTGGCTATAGCTATTACCCACTGAATAATGCAAAGCTTTATCCAGTGGTTTATACTTTATCCAATGTTTCTGGGTGGAACTACTTTCTACACAATCCCTTGCTTTTTGAGACATCTGTTTCTGAAAGTTACATCCTAAGAGATATTAAATGAATTATAAAGCGGCAAAATGCAGGTCAAAATTAAAAAAAAAATACACAAAGGATGTACCCAAAATATCACATGTTATCAAACTGCAATGTTCTTCTGAAGAGCAGCAGGGCCACAGTAAGTCATATAGACATGCAACCATCCTAATATACTGTAGATATGTTTGTTCAAATCATGCTAAAGTATTAGTTTTACATAGGAATATATAGGAAAAGCTATTTAAAAATGTTCTCAAGAACAGAAGAGAACAATTATATTAATATACAAACATGTATATAATATACAAACATATATGAAGTGAATTTTCAAGTTTTTAGCTCACTACCACGAAGTCGAGATGAGAGATGAGCTTATGCTATACCCCTGGTGTTGGCGTCCTAGTTTCGTGTGATTGTATAGTGGTTAGACACTATTAAGTTCAGATACATTTCAACCGATTTATATAAACTGGAGATTTAGTTCCAATCTCACATTCTGAATCTCACATTCTGAATCTCACATGCTGTATCTCACTTGAACTTGAGAGTTATACAGTAGTAGGTATTTATCAACACAGTTAAAGTTTAAGGAGCAATTAAGTCCATTTTCAAGTAACTAATAAACCCTACCTGGACCAAACTTGCAGGGATGATGCATCTAGGGATGAACACTTCCAGATTGCATTGAATACTAGATCTGACCTACATTTTGCAGATAAGTGACTAATAGCTCTACCTGGACCAATTTTGCATGGATAATATAATGCATCCAGGGATGGACAGTATTAGACCTGCTTCAGATGCTCTCAGGAAAAGAGACCAAGTTAAAATTTTTGGATCGGGTAGATCTACATTCCAAACTAACTATAAGTTCAACAGAAACCAAACTTACATGGATACTGACCTCTGGATGCACACTGACAAGGAAAAAACTGATCTGAGGTTTGCCTTACTTATAGATAACATTTGTGTTAGGTGATCTTTGTAATCTTTGATTACCTATATTTTTTAAGTCATGAACCCAAGGGGTGAAGTGGGGTCACAATAGGTCAGAATTTTACATGGGCATATGTAGAAAAATTCTTTGAAAACCTTTTGTATAGGACAGCAGAGTCACAATTTTCACATTGATATACAGTAAAACTTGTCTCATCTGGATATTGTGTATTCTGAAATCTGGTTTAATATGACATTAGTATGAAGTCCCTTTCAGATAATTCTCTTCTAATCCAAAATTTGTCTTATCTGGCCAATTACTATGGAACCAGTGGTGTCCGGATTAGACAAGTTTCATTGTACATGGTCATCGCCATGTAAATGTGTAGATTCAACTTTGTTGAAGTCATTGCCCCAGGGACAAGGATGCAGTCATCATAAAGAATCAAATTTTGACATGGGAATGAATTGGAAAAATCATCCTCTCAGGGTCAAGGTGACTCAGGTGAGCTTTGTGGTTTGATGAATCAAGAGTTATAGAACTTTGGTGGTTGATTTTATTTACAGTCACGGGGGAGCATTAACAGGGATCCCACAGACACTGAAGATAACACCTTTATAGACAGACTGTCACCTGTGAATAAAAGAATTCTGTAAGAATAAAGTCTATAATGGAAACATGTATTGAAATTGTATATGGTAAAGAATTTATTTGTCAGTAAATATTTTCTATTCCTATAAATCTGTTACTTTAATTTCATATCAAATGCTCAAGACTACATATATAATTAGATTATTCTTTATCTTCTTTGGCCCTCCAATTATCCAAGACCATTACTTTAAAGTGTTGTCTATACAAAATTAAAATTGTTCAATTAATTTTTGTAGAAAAGCACTTCCTCTTATGTTTGTTCTGGTATTATACAATACTAGTTCCTATTTTTCAAACAGATGACCCTCTTTTGTAATTTACAGAGGTATTGTACTCTCAGTGGTGTCTGGAGTTTTGTATGGTCAGATGTTCACACCAGCAGTCTACCTCCAGGACCAAAAGGAACACTCAGAAAATTGTGAGTTTGTCATTCATTAGGAAAATCAACAATATTTAAACATTATACTGTAAACCAACCTAAGATTGAGAAATATCCATGAGTTTCATGACCATCTTTTACTCACGAATATTTCTCATTGCGAACCTATTATTCACTTTTGTGTATTTATATGTATAACTTTTTCCCAGTCGTGGAAGTTAACAGTTTTGGATGGATTTCAAGCAGACAATTCACAAATAATAGATGACGCTAATAATGGTTGGTTAACAGTATACAACAAATTGGTTTTTTTAAACATTTTTAAAAAATCTTAAAATATTTTGCAACAAGGTAAAAAAGAGTAATGTGCATCAGTAGAGAAATAAAGTTCTTGCTGGAGTTGGTGTGACATCCAATCAAAACTGTGCTCTCATATTTTCTTTATTTTAACCAATGTCATTACACCCTAGTTCAATAAATATTCACAATATTTATGTTTTCTGACTGGATTAACTGTAGGTGATAATTCTTTTTGACAGCTTTGGACTATGTATTTGCTTGTTTCTGTGGGATCTACATAACAAGCACAGTATATTTCATCATCTACATCATCTTTATGAAGAATAAGCCTAAGGTTTACCCAAAAGCTATCCTACCAGGGGTGATTTCTGGACTTATGTGGGGGACCGCCACTGCTGGGTGGTTTGTAGCCAATGAAGCCTTGTCCCCAGCTATATCATTTCCTATCATCTCCACTGGGCCTTCAATTATTGCGTCATTGTGGGGGATTTTTGTATTTCGTGAAATAAGGGTAAGTTTAACTTTTAACCGTAAAGGATTTATTTTTTTCTTTAAAGTTTTATATCAGAGATACTAGAGAGATGAACATGAAAAAAAAACTCAACTTCGTTAATTCATATTCACTTATATATAAATTTTTGTTCATGAATTTTCAACTGTAAAAGTTAGCAGGTGCAAGCATTAAATACAGTCAAACCTCATTATCTCGAACTCAAAGGGACCGAGAAAAAAGAAAAGTTCAAGATATCCGAGGGTTCAAGATATCCAGGGTTAAATACTTAAAGAATAAGGGGGTGGGACTTCGAAATCACTTCGACATATCCATGGTATTCGAGATATCAGTGTTCGAGATACCTAAGTTCAACTGTTTATATGTTAGTTGACTTAAATTGAAAGGTTTTTTTTTTAAACATACAGAATTAACAAAATGAATTATTCCTTAAAATAATTGATTTCTTTTGCAGGGAGTAAGGAATATTTCTATTCTACTTCTGGGCTTTGTCTTTGTTATAACCGGAGCTACGCTGACTGCTCTGTCAGAGAAACACTGATTCCAAAGTCAACATAGGTTCCCTTTTATCTACAATACCTCAGTTTACTTACATACTTATGTAAAATGTCTGAGTTTTGTACTGTGATAATTATTTTTGTTCAGTATCATAAGGGTTAGATAATTATACTGGATATTTTATGCAATGTAATGAATGTGCTGTTATTATAATTGTTTTGTAAGGGAGTCTGTTAATTGTACACATACAAGCATTTACAAATTATTCTTGCACCCAAGCTTAAGATGCACATAATATTGGTTGGAGTTTCATTATACATGTAGTATTTTAATCAATGGTCTCAAGAAGGCTAACACATGTATTGATGTGATATTTTATTTAAGTGTTGAATGATCATTTTTTTGCTTTTTGGGATGTGATATCTAATATTGATTGAATCTAAATGCACATCTGTGTTATACATAGCACTTAAAAGATTACAAAGAAATAATCATTTAACTCTTAATTCTGCATTTTATATATTTAAAAAGTTATTTTTAAGCTATTTTCCCAAATATTTTATTTCTGTAATGACACATTGTCTACAATAAGGTAAATTAGAATTGAAATTATTAAAAAGAAATTAACTAAAATTTAAATGAAATGAACTGGGATTAAACAGTGTATTGTTTTCTCATTGTTTTAGTAGATCTAGATCTGTCAAATGAGGTGAATAAGTAGGAATTTATCAATTTCTGTACATTTGTTTGGTTTTGATTTTACTGATTTCTCAGTAAAGCATTAAATTATAAAACCTATGAAAGAAGGAAGGGTGAAAAAACAATTGAAGTATGTATCAGTACCTGTAATGACTTAATACTCACCATATGCATCTCAAGAATTGTGAATAAATGCTCTTTTTGATAACGAGACATTTCCATGATTTGAATATTTTTGACTACTTATTTGATGTAAGTTATGATAAAAAGTGATTTTCTCAAACAAGTTTTCATTTGTCACAGGCATATAAAATGCTTTACAAAAAATTAGTCTTAAGTTTTTCAGGCCAAAAATATCAAAATTAATGGACTGTCAGTTTGTTTTTAATTGTTTGTTTGAAGCAAAATATTACTCTCTCTCTCTCTCTCTCTCTCTCTCTCTCTCTCATGACAACAAAATTGATGACACTGATTCTTACTTTTGTATGAATATCTAATTTTCTGTAAAATTAAATTATGTTATTCATTACAAAACAAAACTATTTGTTATTGTTTAAAAATGATAACAAGAAATATATTGTGTATCTTAGAAAAAAAAACCTTTATAAGAATGGAGTCTGTTATCTTTTTTGGTTAAAAGAAAAGAAAATAGAGTTTTTCAGTATGTGCAATAAATTGATGAATGTGGCAATGTTTGACCTAATGCAGCAGTCCTTAAAAAACTTAAGAATATTGGCCATAGCATGCTTAATAAAGAAAGACTTCAATACCTTTTCTTAGGTCACCTGAGTCACTCAGATGACCTAGTGCTATCTGTTTTTGTCCGTCATGCATCGTGTCATTCATCATGCGTAAACATTTGAACATTTTCAATTCTTCTCTGGAACCCCTGAAGGAATTTCATCCATTTTTTGCTCACCTGAGCCGAAGGCTCAAGTGAGCTTTCCTGATCACATTTTGTCCGTCGTCTGTCTGTTCATCCGTCTGTAAACTTTTCATATTTTCGACTTCTTCTCCCGAACAACTGGGCCAATTTCAACCAAACTTGCCACAAAGCATCCTTGGGTAAAGGGGATTCAAGTTTGTTCAAATGAAGGGCCACACCCTCTTTCAAGGGGAGATAATTAAGAATAGGGAAAATTTGGTGGTATCTTTTAAAAATCTTCTTCTCAAGAACCACTGGGCTGTAAAAGTTGAAAACTTATGTGAGACCTTCATTACATAGTGTAGATTCAAGTTTGTTCAAATCATGACCACCTGGGGTAGGGTGGGGCCACAATGGGGGATCAAAATTTTACATAGAAATATATTGAAAAAAATCTTCTTCTCAAGAACAACAAAGCCACAATTAGTCATATTGATGTGGATTCATCCTCAGGTAGTGCAGATTCAAGTTTGTATCAAATCATGACCCCTCGGGGTAGGGTGGGGCCACAAGGGGCGATCAAAGTTTTACATAGGAATATACAGAAAAAAAACTTGAAAAATCTTCTTCTCAAGAACAGCAAAGCCTTGTTAAGTCATATTGATATGGAAGCATTCTCAGATAGTGTAGATTTAACTTTGTTCAAATCATGACCCCCAGGGTTAGGGTGGTGCCACAATTGAGGATCAAAGTTTTACATAGGAATACATAGGAAAAACCTTAAAAATGCTTCTTCTCAAGAACAGCAAAGTCATGTTTTGTCATACTGATATGGAAGCATCCTCAGGTAGTGTAGATTCAAGTCTGTTCAAATCATGACCCCTGGGGGTAGGGTGGGGCCACAATGGGGGATCATAGTTTTACATAGGAATATATAGGGGAAAAAACTTGAAAAATCTTCTCAGGAACAGCAAAGCCATGTTTTGTCATATTGATATGGAAGCTTCCTCAGGTAGTGTAGATTCAAGTTTGTTCAAATCATGACCCCTGGGGTAGGGTGGGGCCACAATGGAGGATCATAGTTTTACATAGGAATATATAGGGAAAAAAACTTGAAAAATCTTCTTCTCAGGAACAGCAAAGCCATGTTTTGTCATATTGATATGGAAGCATCTTCAGGTAGTGTAGATTCAAGTTCGTTCAAATCATAACCCCCAGGGGTAGGGTGGGGCCACAATGTGGGATCAAATTTTTACATAGGAATATATAGGAAAAAATCTTTTCATCAACAGAAAAGCCATGTTTAGTCATATTGATATGGAAGCATCCTCAGGTAGTGTAGATTCAAGTTTGTTCAATGATGGGGGGGGGGGGGGGGGTTAGGGAGGGTCCACAATGGGGGATCAAATTTTTAACAAGGGAATATATAGGGAAAAAATCTTTAAAAATCTTCTGCTCAAGAACAGCAAAGCCATTTGTTATATTGATATGGAAGCATCCTCAGGTAGTTCAAAATCCAAGCCCCCCCCCCCCCCCCACCCCCCTTTAAACTTTTCAATACTGAAGTGATTTGTGCTTTTTCCTAGCCAGGTGAGCGATGTGGCCTATGGGCCTCTTGTTGGTATATAGCATCTATAGGTAAAGGAAACAAAAATCATGAATTTCAAGGTCCCTGTACTCCCTGGGACCTGAGGGGTGGGGCTTAATCTATCAAAATGAGTGCAATCTTTAAAATCTTCTTCTTTACTCCTTGACATCAAACTGTTGGCATGGTTGTAATAAGCATTACCCCTCTACCAAAATTTTGAAATTCCTGCCTCCTGGGTCAGGGGCTCTGGTATTAGGTGGAGTTCTATAGATCATATAGTGAAAGTGTATTATTTCTTTGAAAATCTTCTTCGCTGCTCCTGAGTTTTAAGCAAACAAACTAAGTGCATAGTAATAATAAGAAGGGGTGCCTCTTCAAAAATTGTGAATTTCAAGGCCCCTGGCTGCTTAGGAGTCCTGGTGTTAGGGCAGGGCTCTATTGATTATATAGTGAAAATTGCATTAATTCTTTGAAAATCTCCTTCTCTACTCTTTGGTATTCAGCAGATAAACTTAGTGCATTTTTATGATAAGCATGAATGCTTCTTCCAAAATTGTTAAATTTGTGGTCCCAGGCCATGGGTTCGGTGATGTGGGTTTATAGATCATACTGTAAAAATGCATTATTTCTTTGAAAATCTTCTATGCTCCTGGGTACTAAGCAAACAAATAAAATGAAAATTTTATTGTGAATTTCATGGCCTCTGGGTCAGGGGTTTTTGTATTAGGACAGGTTTTACTGATTATATAGTGAAAATGCATTAATTCTTTGAAAATCTACTTCTGTGCTCCTGGTTATTTACCTGAAAAACTAAGTGCATAGATATAATGAGCAAGGGTGCTTCTTCAAAAATAATGAAATTTGTGGCCCCAGGGTCAGGGGTTCTGTTGTGTGTGTGTGGTTGGGAGTGCTCAATTGTTTATATGGTGAAAATTGCATTATTTCTTTGAAAGTCTTCTCTGCTCCTGGGCATCTAGGAGGCAAACAGAGTATAAAGTTGAAATAAGCAAGCATATGTTTACCAAAGTTTTGAAATTCTTGACTACTTGGTTAAGAGTTCCAGAGCTGGGTAAGGCTCTATTAATATGCATTCTACTGGAAGTAGAAAATTATTCCCCTTTGCTATTTACTTTGATAATTAATCACATTGGATTCTTGAAAAGGGTGAGTTCAACCAGTTGGAGGTCAAGGTGGGTTTAAGGGGGCGAAGCCCCCAGAAGCTCTCAAGTTTTCGGAGTTTTTGGAACAGTTTTTTAAAAACTTATTTTAGCTATATTTTAGATATAATTAATGCAATGTCCCACACTAAAAAAAATGATTTATTAATCTTGTTTATATTTTTGGTCACAAAAGGGGACCCTGTAATAAATCTGCCAGTGTAATTGAAAGGTCAATTGAATAAGAGAATTATATTAGAATTTTGTTGTACAATACGAAAAAAAACTACTTTTATAGTTTTAATCGTCAGATAGACTTGTAAGTAATACATGAATAAAATCGAGGCAAAAATAACTTGATAACTTAATCTTATTTTGAAAATGTTTTCAAAGACAAAGAGAGGCCAATGTGAGAGAGAATGAGATGGAATTAAGTAATAGTGTCAAACACTTTTGTTTTGTTTTCGGCATGGTAATAGTGACAATTGGGGGAAGTAGATCTACTCTAAGATTTGTTACAGAGTACTAATTATTTTGTTGATTCCTGATCATCTTATTTCTCTTTCTTTTGGGCAACAAAGCTTCATCTTTCAGTTTGTTTTATTTTATACTTGTTTGGACCCTTTGCATTGTTGTATTATACTCAGGTGACTGTGAAGGCCCTTGGGCCTCTTGTTATCACAGAACTTCACAATTCCACAAATGACACCTGACGAGGCTGCATGAAGCTGTTTTAAATTCTTTTAAAACATATTGCTGTTTATAATGATCTCTTCATAATCATGCATTGCTTTGACCCCTATATGGCTGGTATAGCAGATGTTTTCAAACTGCTTTTTAATTATCATTATTTCCCTTTTTTTAAGTACTCTTAAGTGTTCAGATATTACATGTATGCATGCCAGGTATTTTACTAATACATTTTAATTTATTTTGTCAAGTACATATGTACCAAAAGTGTACGATATTGTAATTTTTTTAAAAAAGAAAAAGAAAGTTGTATCAATGCTCCCTACTTTATTGCTTTTTAGTTCTTCTGAGCCAAAGGCTCAAGTGAAGTTTTCTGATCAGAATTTGTCCATTATCTGTCGGCCTCAGCATAAACTTTGCACAGTTTCAACTTCTTCTCAAGAATCACTGGGCCACTTTCAACCAAACTTGCCACAAAGCATCCTTGCGTAAAGTGGATTCAAGTTTTAAAAAATGAAGGGCCATGCCCTCTTTCAAAGGGAGATAATTAAAAATTGATGAAAAATTAAAATCTTTCAAAAATCTATGATATGATAAAAAAATCTAAAATAGTGAATGATGAATTTTTTTACAATCAATCAGAAATTTTAAGTAGAATCAGAGCCCTGTTCAACAGAGCGAACGTTCGCGAGCGCTCGCCAAAATTCCTCATCTTTCCAACAGAAATGTTCGCGAGCGCTCGCGAACGTTCGCTCTGTTGAACAGGCCTCAGGTTGTATTGTAAATTTCTTAATACTTGTAGTACTATAGTAAAAATTAGGGATGTCAACGAATAGTCGACTATTCGACCATCAGTCGAATGGACCGACGATCGAATAACGAAACGACATTCGAATAAATAAATTCAATAAAAGAGTGATAAAGAGTTGGAATTCTCATCCTAAAATTGAGAAACCGTCTTCCCTCAGACACAGTTGATAAGATAATTTTCCTCATTAAAAACTGCTGACTGTATATGTAGAAAGTACAGTGATTAGAAACGCTTCACTTCCGCGTGAATTATTGTCAATTAATGTGTTGTTCTCATAATAAAATTATCTCGCCATACTGCGCTTTCTTTGTAAAACTATTAATTGGACTTGATCTCATACCATGTACCCATTATAG